TTTTCCTTTCAACCAAACATCCCCCTCCTTCCCTGTTACATTGCATCAGAGCCTCCTCAAGCCTGTTGTCTTGCTCCAGGCATCCCCCTGCCTGTGGCTTGGGGTTAATATCTGGTTCTTTCCAATCCCACCCCATGTGATTGTGTCTTTGTTTCAGATCCAGGAGAGTAATCATACTCAGACTGGGTCTCCACTAGCCAAAGCAAAAGAGACATTTGAGGAAACAATCGGCCAGTCACTGCATAAGGGGGTTTTGGGTTGCCTGACAATCAACTCATTGCCTCAGTTCTCCTTTCTGCCTGACCTTCAGGTCATCAATGGCTACTTTCTTTGGCACTAACAAGGCAAATGTACAATGACTTTAGTGGCTTAAGAAGAGGCCATACCCCCAGAGGTACGCCAGAGAAATTATTTTCTTAGTATTGCAGAGTAAAAGGCTCTTGAGAACTGGCCTGAAAATTTTATGTCTGCCTTTCTCCAACCTCTGTCTGACTGCCACCTAGTGGCATATGGCGGGGTGGGGGTGAGAGAGTGGAGGGTGGGAGTGGTCCACAGGGTGCAGTCAACAAGTGGGTGCATTGTCTCTGGAGAAGTTGAAAACAATGGAATCGACTAAAACTTAGTCAGATTTGAATTTTTACCATGCTCTAGCAATTCTAAACAGTGTCAGAGATAAAATACTTGTCACTTTGGTATGCCACTCTCCCAACTCCAGCACGTAACTAGTCCCCTCATCCAGCTTGGGGAGCCATGCTTAATGCTGACTTTTCAGGTAACAGTTCACATTCATATCTAGCTCCTTCATCAAAATCTCTCTATCTTGTGTTCCATCCTCTTGGGGCTCTGCTATCTACTTTCCTTGGTGGAATTTCTTTATGGGGGTGGGATTTGCAGTGGGTACCTAGCACTCCCGACTCGGAGCACCGGCAGTGTAACTGGACTCAGCTAAAGAATCAATGCTTTTGTCCAATGCTTGTTCAAATTCCTTTAAAGCAGTGAAACCTTGTTTTCAAACAACATAGAGTATGAAACCCCAACTCCTAAGACTTTAAGCCTCGCCTCTCATGTCATTTCCTCAAGGAAGTCTTCTTTACCCTTCCATGATGAGGACAAGCCCCCACGACACACTCTCCTAGCGCTTTGGACTAACTCTTTCATCCCACCCATCACACTTGGAATTACTTGTCCAGAATCCGTATTCTCTGGTGGACTGTAACCTCAGTGCATGCAAATGCCAGGTTGATCTTGCTCACTGTTGTAGAACCAAGCGGGGTGCCTGGCCCTCTGTAGGTGTTCCATAAATAGCTGGTGGATGAATGGAAGCTTTCCTCTTACTACAGCCAACAAGTCAATAAGCACCGCAAATAGCCAAGTCACCTGTCACACCATGGCTTTTATTGACATTATGGTCAACAACGACCTCCAGATCATTTTTCAGAGCAAAACAAAGTGGTAAACCAGGTTTTCCTACCTCGTAGTCATGTGATGACACTTTAAAACTAAATGCGGCAGCCACAGTGCTCAGTTTCTAGTGGGAAAATTTATTCCTTCTCTCCTGAGCACTAAAGTCAGATTCTTGCTCTTACTAAATCCTGGCTGAAGTCGTGCGAGGACATCCTCTCTTCTTTTCTATACCAAGACCTCCTTTTGGCTATCCCAGGTTGGCACGTCCTTCAAAACCAGGCTTAGACTCCACTTTCTGCCTGAAATAACCAAGCCTAGACTGCTTTCCCCTTTCTCTGAACTACTAAAGTTCAAGAACAAACAGTTCACCTAGTAATAATAAAAAAAAACCTCTGGAATTTACTGTGCCTTTGTTATGTGCCAGCCACTATCATAAGCACTTTACACAATGTCATTTAAGATTCACCATAACCCTATGAGGTAGAGATTATTCTTTCCCCCGTTTTACAGAAAAGAAAACTGAGATTAAGAGATATCGAAAGCAGGGAGAAAGGGAAATAAGTCTGAATTGTTTGCATCTATTAGCTCTCTGTCTCCTCTTGGTTTCCTGATTGGGGTGGACTGCCTGCAAGGTTTGACCCTACACTTCTTATTTTATTTTGTTTTTAATTTTGCTGAGTCTCTGAACAGAGGTGAACGTCTTGATCGCAGGACAGAAAATGGCTAAAGCCCTTCTGCAGTGTTTCCTCAGACAGATGCTCTCACAGGAGAGGTAGGAAAGGTTTGCTTACTTGGTGCCACCTACTTCCTCCCTCCTGCCCAAATATCAACCCCCACCCCCTAAAAATAACTCCCTCCTACTGCCTCCATTGCCCCGTGGCCAGAAGGCTTTTACTCACTCCAGCCCCCTGCCTGTAATTTTGTTCTTGGGGAATTCATTTTGAGCACAATAAACAGTAATAAAGTCTTTAAAAGTGAGTGAAGAGGTAAGTGAGGGCTAAGCGAGTCTCATTCACTTCACTGAACCTGCTTGCTGCTGCCCGCTTCATTCTGAAGGCCCGGACAGCTGCCCTGAAGGCATTCGGTTCTGTTTGTTGAGCGATGTTGGTAACGGCAGAGCCCAAGGTTCTTTGCTGAGCAAGGCAGGCCTGGGTGGGATGGCGGGATGTGAAAAGGGGACGTCGGCACTGGGGACCCGGGGAGCTCGTGATGAAATGAATAGAGGAGGCTTTACCTTCTTTGAAATTTTGCCTGGAGCCTGCTCTTCATCCCCCCTTCACCCGTCCCACCCAGAAAATTGAAAGGACACTCCCTGGTTGCTTCTCTCTCCTCACCACCTGCCCTTGCCACCAGGACCCAGCTTAAGCAGGCACTAATTAGTGCTCTATATAACTTGGCTACATTCAGGGTTCAAGAGGCTTGTGCCGACTGTCTGGGAGATCTGAGCATCGAATAGAATGATGTTTCTATGAGAAAATGCATTCTGGATGCTAAATTGGAGGCCAATATTTCATTCCTAGATTGGGGACTTCATATACTTGGAGGCAGCTCAGAACTCCTCTTGTCTGCATTAACTTGAAGCAGGCCTTGGGTCTCCTGTATTGTCCATTTTGTGAAGGCTTTATATACATCATGTGGGAGCCTAATTACTCACACACACAGATAGAGCGAGATCTAAGTGTTGTAATATGTACTATAGCTACTCTAAATATTACATTATGATATAGGTAGTATATGTAGAAATACAGATACTGCTTACCATCCATATTCTTGAAGTAAGAATCCTTCACAGCTGTGAGGCCTGTACTGCAAATGCGGGGACATCTTGCTTTAAGAAGTAAAAAAAAAACAATTTATGTTTTATGTTTCAGTTATGTTTTATGTTTCAATTATGTTTTAAAATCTATGTGTAAATCCAATATTTATCAGTAATTTCAAAAGACGGCTATGGCAAATCATTTGGCAAGGCAAACAAGCACCTTTTCACTTGTGTTTGTTTACCCAGATCTTATTCGTCTCCCTTAGGTACAGAGAAAATGTCCCGAAGGCCTGCCTAGCCCCTGGATATTTAAATAATCCCTGGACTGCTTTCTTTCCGAACTGAAGAAAGAATCCCATCAGACTGACTATTCACTTGGCAAATATTTACTGAATGTCTGGAAGTGCTGGGCACCAGGTCCCTGCCCTCTCGGAGCTCTCCAGACTCCTCAGGGAGACTGTGGCGGAGCAAATGCTTCACATTTTAACACATGATGGCATGTAAAAGATGAATGCACTCCATGTCCTCATCTCTAAAATAGGGTCAATGATGGGCCCTATCACATAGGGCTGTGGTGAGGATTAACTAGGAAAACATGCATGTCGATTGATGACCACAGTGGCTGGCACAGAGTTAGTGTTTTGGTTGCTATTTCCTAGGGAAACAACTAACTGTGCCTGAAAGAGGTGGATGAGGTCTGAGAAGAGCAATGTGAGTTTTAAAAGACGAGTAGGTGTTTGTGAAGTAGAGACATCAGAGGATGAACGTTCCAGGCAAACAGAGCTGTGTGCAAAGACACAGAAGTACTAAGGACACAGTAAGTTCTAGGAAAATTGAGTTGGCATAATTGGAGGATAGTACATAAGGAGAAAGGGGAAATGCTGGCAAACCAGGTGGGGAGCTAGCAAGGCTCCACAGAGGTGACATTTGGATTGGGTCTTGAAGGATGAGTAGGAGTTTGCCAGGCAAAGAAGTGGGACGGATTTCCTAGCTGTGGGAAAGCACATACAAAGGCACAAAGTCATAAATATGTATGAAATATTGGGGAGACTGTGTGCTGTGGCTTGAGCTCTGCATTCAAAGACTTCTTTCTTTCCACTGGGACGTTTCAGAGGTATCTGAACTTGCTTGACAGACTGTGGGGTAGGCCCCCTGAAGTCAGTTTGCATGAGGGATTCACTGAGGGAATAAAAGCAGTTCATGTGCATCAAAGGAGAAATGAGTAGAGCCTCATGTCTATCTTGTGGGGTTACATGGGCAGATCTCAGAGATATTGCAGGTTCGGTTCCAGACCTCTGCAATAAAGCAAATACAGCAATAAAGCAAGTCACATTTTTTGGTTTCCTGGTATATATCGAAGTTATGTTTACACTATACTGTAGTCTATGAGTGTGCAATGGCATTATATCTAAATAATGCACATATCTTAATTTAAAAAGAATTTATTGCTTGTTGTTTATCTATTTTACTTACAGTAGTTAGGAAGTGCAAATCTCGAACTCCTAATCTATCCCTTCCCACCCCTTCCTCCCCGGTAACCATAAGTTTGTTTTCTGTGTCTGAGAGTCTATCTCTGTTCCGTAAATCAGTTCCTTTGTGTCCTACTGTTTTTAGATTCCACATATAAGTGATATCATATGCTATTCTTCTTTCTCTTTCTGGCTTACTTCACTTAGTAAAGGTCATCTGACTGCAAAGTTCTCACTCCTAACTGTGATGCTGTAGTGTCAGAGGGGTGTCAAGCTGAGTGTGCAACAGCCAGGCCCACCCATCACCTGTTACCCAGTCCGAGGTCAGCACTGCCCAGAGAGTCAATCACTCACACAACATTCCTGCACAGGGTTTTTCAAAATTAACTTTTTTATTAATTTAAAAATCCAGAAATACAGTGACTACATAAATAAGTACCATGTTTAGGTACATGTCCTGTGAGAAGAGTGAAAGGGTAATACTGTTATGTTACTCTTACTTGTTTACGTGAGTTAACTATTAAATGGCTACAACTGCTAAGTGGTGCTTATGGGCTTTGTTGTTCCAAGTGTTTATGGTACAAATAAATACACAAGAAGAACCACATCCATTCCTGTCCACTGACTACAGGCGGCTTGGCCTCTCCTCCTTATGCCCCACTCCCGACACGATACCGAACACTGGAGGGTTTCGACGCTGGCTTAGCACAGCTCCCCAGCTCCTGCTTCACACAGCACTTGGCAGAGGTGTGTCCCAGCACCTGGCGGCAGGAGTCTATCTAGGGAAGCTCCCTGGGTGTTCCCTTAAGGTTGAGCTTTCAGAGAACACCTGGGTGGGAAGGCTTTGGGGTGGGTCATCCAGGAGGGGAAATCACTGCTTTGCCTCGGGATTCGGTGACTTGTTTCCACGCTATGGAAAGGCTGCCACCTCTGGGAGGGGAGCAGCGGCTACTTAACCTCATCCACACCCTCCCGCCTCCAGTAATGCCCTGTGGCCTTTCAGCCCTGGATGTCCTACTTCCTCTTCCCCAGGAGAATGTCTGGGGGGCTTGTAAGAGGCTGCTCCCATGAAGGCCTGGCCACTGGGCCCCTGTGTCTCTTTTCTGAGAACAGACTTCTTTATGTCAGGTTGCCAGAAAGACTGGACATTTTACATTTTTCCCTACTGGTGTCAAATTAAGGGTGGGGGAGTTCCTTTCACCCATGATCACAGAGTAGGAAATATGGCATTTCTTAGTCCCTACCTTTTCTAAGTATTCACTAGAGTTCATTCATGCCCCCTCCAAGGAGATCAATGTAGAAGGCAGGCCTGAGCGTCCCGCTATGGAGAATGTACAGTTTTCCCACAAAGGTGATTTCTAAAGCCAGGCCTCAGAATGGATCGTTTAGGCTCTGGTATCGGGCTGCAAGTAGACATTTTCAGAGCAGGCTTCTCTGGGATCCATGGTTCAAATCCGTGCTCAGTGGAAGGTTTAGCATAAAGAATGTTATCAGAATCCCCACCTCCCCAGATGAGCAATAATTCTAACTGAAGAGCCGCCGTTCAGAAGCTTGTGAGGACTGAGCTCCTTTACAAAGTAAAAATCAACTCCTGCAGTTGAAGAAGAGAAAACTGCCCTTTTAAAGAGCTTCTAGAATTTAATCATTTAACTGAAAATTTTGGACTAGAAAACTAGGACCTCAAGAAAATAAGTGAGGATTGAGCTGTTAATTGGTGAGTTTTACTGACTTGAAAACATGGCCAGCCTGTTGACTGCTATTAATTCCTTTCTTCAACAATTATTTTGTCTTCAGTTTCTGAAAACTTTTACCCAATTCTAACTTCTTTATAGAGGCCCCATAAGTTCGGGAAGAAAAGAGAAGTGGTGTCACGAGGAAGTTATTCCCCACTTCAAAGTGAAGGCAGCCATGCAATGGTGTTCTTATTCTTCACCAGACTTGGTGACTTCAACAACCACATGAGTTGGTGACTTCAGCAACCACACTGCAGACCTAAGGGCAGAGCCTTGTGCTCACGATGCCTTACTTATCCTCCTGGGTACCAAACACGGCCAAGCGACTTGGGAGCCAGGCAACAGAAAGGAGGGAAGAGACTGTGCTGGCCTTGCCTCAAGGTGAAGGCTCTAGTTTAGTGTGTGTGCCTGGGTGTGTGCACGTGTGTGTGTGAAGTTGGGAGTTAATTTTTTTTAAAACACAAGACATCTAAAGTTTGAAGAGTAGAATTTCATACAAATATTTTCTCTGTACTACAGAACTCCTCCTACGAAGCAATTCCCTTCAGTTTCTCTCACTGGAATAACTTTCTAGATAGAAACCCGGGGATGGGGTTGGGGGGTGGTTTGTTTACTCCTTAATCTGTAAAGAAATGTGATTCTCCCAGAAACTACAGCAGTGTTGTGGTGTTCTGGCCCTCTTCCTCCCATAGCTAATTCAAGACTCTTCTAGTCTCTTCGGAGGAACTGTTTAAGGGCTGACACACCACTCCAATAAAGGAGCAAGTTATGCTGTGCATGGCGTGAGTAATTAACTGCATTTGAGTTTGGGGTTTCAGGGCCCTGTTGACTTAAGCAAAGTAAGCCTGCAGTCCAGCTGCAGCTTGAGTTTTCCTGCTATACCCTCTCCAATACTGTCTGTCTCGTCTAACAGTGGCCCTTTTCAGACCTTTCCAGGTACAAAACCTTGACCAAATCTTCAAGCTCTGTTCTGCACACCCGGCTTGAACACATCTGGCTGATCTGGGCTTCTCCTTCGGTGAAGATCTTCCACTGGCCTAAAAGGCAAACACAAAGTGGCCCGGGGATGTAAGAGGAGAGCAGAGCCAATTAGGAGTATAATCTATATACCACATCCTTCCCCACCCACTCCCGGACCCGCCAGGGGAGCTGGAATACAGGCGTCATGTGCTTACAGCCCAACAGCCCCCAAAACATTTTTCTGGGGACAGATATGGAAAATGACCCTCAGAGCCTTCATTTCAATGCACAACATTTCTAACAATCCCAAGAATACATAACTGCTTCCTCGGGAGTAAAACCTAAGTATTACTCTTGTGATTTTTACAGTCTGTTTAGCATTCGCAAAATGCTCCACTATCAGGTTGTGAGCTATTAGGTGGATCACTTGGCACCAGGTCAAATAAGACACTTTGGAGAACAGTTCCTGGTGCATCCCTGAGCTTTGCTTGCTCTTTGAGGTCTGAATATTAGTTTGGGTTACTTGATTATTTACTGCTGTTTTCTCTATTCTTGCCACTCTGTTAAAAACGGTTCCCCTCTGCTTTCTCTGATGCCCACACACTGTCTTTACACCACTTTGAGTGGCCCTCACCTTCCTATGGCTCCTTAGAAAGGTCCATCCTCACATTCCCCATGTGATTCCTCTCTGCTCTGGATGAACACGGCTGCATCCCTTCTGTTCCCTGTCATCCCTGCTCGTGTTTCCTTCCATTCTCTGTTTTCTCCTCCCCCTTCACTATGGAACTGTCCACACTTCCAACGTGTCCTTATCAACTTCTTTGTTCACCATACTGCATGCTAACTGAGCAAACATTTTTGAGTGCACACCCTGTGCTGAGTGCTGGAAACCACCCGATGTCTCTGGACCATCCCTTTTCTAACTCTCACTGGTCCCGCAGTGGCAAGATCTTCCTCCTCCTGCTATCATCTTGCTCTGTCAACTAACCTTCCTAACAAAATGCCCATCCTGGATCTCCTCTTCAGTCTTCTTTTCATGCTCTTGTGGTGTTGCAACCTGGAGAACTCCCAGTCCAAGGTCAGCAAGCTCCTCTTAATCCAAAATTGATGTTGAACCTCTTTTTTTTTCCTAGCCACAGGAGACCATGACCCCCTTCCTTATAGCCTCCATTTCTCTGGTCCTTTCTCCCTTAGATTCTTCACTTTTCTCTATTCTCTCAGACTCGATGGGAAAGGAGAGATAAGTTGGGCAAAGAACCAGCTTTTACTGAAGCCCTATGGCGTGCCAGGATCTGATAGGCACATTATATACAGGGGTCAGGCTTGTTCTTCTCTGCCCTCAGGTGACCCTGCAGGATCATCTCATTCATACCCACTTCCTTCAGCTGCACACAGTTAAAGGCAGATACCAGCTACCTCCATTAGATACCACATATCCTAACTGTGATGGGCAGTTTGTTAAAATCATCTTTCAGGTACCCTAGTGCCTAGCACAGTGCCTTGCTTACAGTATGAACGCAAATATGTTCTTGGTAATTAATTGGTAATTTCAAAAGTCACATCATTGATCCTGGAATCTTAGGCTCTGCCTCCTTTATTCCTTACTCGTAAGGACTCCCAACTACTCCATCTGAATCCTCCTACTGTCCAGGTATTGTCTACCAGTCTCGAGCAGAATAAACCATTGACCTCATCAACCTTATTTCCAGCTGCCTATTGGATCACTCTACTCAAATAGCCTTCAAGCATCTTAATCGAAACATGTTCCAAGTAAAACTCATTTTTTTTCCCACCAATACCCATTCATTCTCCAGAGTTTCCTGTTGGTGAATGGTACTACTATCCACCTCGTCTATAAAGTTGTTGACATTGGAGTCATTCCAAACTCATTTCTCTCTTTCATACTGATCTTGATGATCTAACCTCAGAGCTGTCTGTCCCAGGAACTCCTCCTTCCATCTAACCAACTTCATACAGTCTAACAGCTTCCTACAGACTATCACCAGCTCTCTCAATAAAAGCCCAACTTCCACTTCATATAGCAAGTATCACTTTCTAAAAAACAGATCTGAACGCATTGTTCACTTGCTTAAAACCCCCCACTGGGGTTCTCTGGTCTGGAGATCAAGTCCAACTTCTTAGCATGGCATACTGGGCTCTTTAGAATATGGCTTCATCAAAGTAGGTGCTTCATAAATGCCTCCGACAGCTGAGAGACATCTTCCCAAAACACCAGTTTGAAACTACTATGCTGTGTGGAATTTTGCAGCAACTACCCACGCTACTTGCCTCCTACCTGAACTTCTCACTGGTTTCTTCCAGGCCCTCTGACTACTCCCTGCCTACAATTCTTCTTGTATTTCAGTGCACCGTCTGTGGCCTTTGTAATTCTTCCTCACCCATACCCACGCACCCATCCACACTCACATTTCTTGTTTGCTCCCGTCTGAGTCTTCTCTTAGGCTGCACCCTCTTCCTGGACTGATTTCCTGTCCTGTTGCCCAGTCACACCCTTCTCTTTCAAAACCCACCTCCTCCCCGAAGCCTTCCCCAACTAAGCCCATCTGGCTCTCATCTCGTTCTTTGCAGATCCCTCTGAGCTCTTAGGTATTTAACTCTTCAGAACTATGCTAATACATAGTGAAGGCATTTTCATGTTCTGTCTCGCCCATTAGAATTCCCTGTGGACAGAAATTTTGTGCCTTTTATTCTTTCAGAAGTACTCCCCACCCACCAGCGCCTGCAGGCTCTAGCCCCAGGCTCCATCTAGCGTAGGAAGTGGGAGAGCCTGAGTCGGCCTGAGCGTTTTTAAAGAAACATGACCACCTGGGGCCGTTCCAGAGAGTCAAACGGAGCTTTGATGCAACACAAGAATTGATATACATTAATTTTTCTCTCATCCCCATCAGCTAGGGAAGAGCCTTCCAGATGTGAAGTTTGCACAGATGTACCAGACCTAGAATCTTGTAAGCTTTCTCCAACCCTTTTGAGACTCTGGGTTTAGTCACCTGGAGAGAGAGAATAGCCCCTAATGTTGACACTGAGCATTGCTCCTGTTTACTGAGAATATGGGGCGGGGGCTGGAGGGTACTTTGTTTAGAACTAGGCTACAGTAAAAACTAGGTGTGTTTTCCAGGGAGGAGTAAAGAGAGTCCCCACTTACTCAGGGTTGTCCTCGTCACCAGCTTGAAGTGAGGGAGCTCCTCAAACATCCTCTTGGAGATCTTCTCAATGTGGAAGTGCTGGAGGATGCCTGGGGCCAAGCAAAGAGTGTGGCAGGTGGTCAGGCACTCTCTATCTGGAACCACCAACCCCTTTTTTTCCTGCTTGGGCTGAACATATCATCTCATTTCTGGGGCTTAGGAGTCTCGAGCTGAGTTGTGTAATGTGCTTAACCAGGAACTTGGGCGGCTCGAGGGTTATAATTGACTCCATTTGTTTCCTTGGCTCGCCAGCCTCCCCCCTGGTTCTCCAGAGGATGGAGATAAGGGAGACAGAGCTGCTGGCCGTTGGGACCCGCCCCTAGGGAAAGCCACAGGGAATCAAGCATGGGTGCCGGTTGGAGTTTCCGCATCCCAAGGCAGTATTAGACATCGTGTCCTTGCCCCAAGTCTGGTCCCTGCCAAGCCACTGGGCTGCCCTCCGGCTCAGCCGTGAGAGCCAGTGATGGGCCTTGCAGACAGGTTCTTCGTGTAAATGGAGAAGCCATCCCTATTCTTGAACTCACTGAAAAGCCTATTTGCCTTTGGGAAACAATCACATCTCCTTTAGCTTTCCCTTTTAAAAATGGGGAGAGATCAAATAATGGGGTTCCCACAGGCTCAACCTTGCCTGAGTAGTTTTTATCAGAATAACACATGAACAACAGAAAACAGCCTTGCAGTTAAGGAGCAATATGGTACCAGCCCATGTAAATAATCTTCACAAGGTCTACAGGGAGCGACAGACACAAAGCCTGGGTTTTCTCTATCCACCAGGCACAGATCTTGATTACCCAGCACTGTGAACAAGAGGTTATTTAGATGAGACCCTAGCAAGTTGAAAAGCATCCACACACCTCTGTGACGCAAGAGATGTGGGGTGATGGATGAATTGTGAGCCCACTGCTACGAAAGCTTACAGAACAGCGCTTAGTCCTGGTGACCAGTTACAGAGGGGCCAGGGAGTTACAGACAGCAAATCAACATCCCTAGGTATGTAGCAAAAATAAACAGTGATGAGACATCTATGTGCGTTCTAGCATATTTCTTAAGGGGCAGGGAGGAACTCGCTCTTTTCAGAAAGAAACGTTGTTGTGAAAAGGGAGAGAAAAAGGACCCCCAAATACTAGAGCAGGTATTTCTCAAAGGATGGGTCCAAGGGCCCCGTGCATCAGCATCACCTGGCTATTCGTTAGAAATGCAGACGTGTAGACCCTATGCGAGGCTGACTGAATTCGTATTTCTTGGATGAGACTGGACAGCTGTTTTAAACCAGCTTCTTGTGTGATGCGGAAACTCACTCAAGTTCGAGCACTCTTGAGCCTTACGTGGGGGCATTATTTCCCAATTGAAATCTCACCGCTACACTTGGATTCCTAGAAAACTTGACCAGACTACAACTGCCCTAGTCTTGTAGCTGTGGGATGGTTTGAATAGCTGCAGGTTCACAATGAACAGAATGTGGCTTGCTGTGGCAGTCAACGCGAGTAACCAGAAAGGAACTGAACATCATGACTGGGATTGTTCCTCCAGTGAGACTATCATCTTCTTGAGGGCAGGGATGATGTTTTAAATGTTTTAAATTTGTCCGACTGCAGAGCACCCAACATGATTCGAGAGACTCAGCTTTGTGCTGAATGAATGTATTTTCACGTTTGCTGAGCTTCGTCTTGGAAACAACGGTAGACTACAGTTTGGTATTTACAACCCTGGCTGTACATCAGAATTACCTGTGGCGCTTTCAGAACAAACACGTAAGCCCAAGCCCCACTCCTGGCCCATTAGTCAGAATCTCTGATTTGGTATTTAAAAGCCTTCCCAGATGATTCTGCTGCGCAGCCAGGGTGAAGAACCCACTCCTCCGGCCTTGGTTGTGTGAGGAGGACAACAAACCCCGATAGTCAATACTTACTTTTCAGCCCAGGTCACGGTTAAAGTGAAAGGCCACAATGAGCCATGTGTTAGTTTCTAAGCAATCAGGAAATCTTCTGACCCCAACAGAGGAACAGACTGAAGCAAAATGAAGGTGAGCCTTCCCTTCCTTCCCTCTGTCCCCCTTACAAAAAAAATAAGAAATTAATGTTGTCTTGCTTACCTTTTCGAATGGTCCAAACGTGAACCTCTACCTGGGGTGGTCTCTCTGTCTCCAGGGCTATTTTTCTGGTGGTCTCCCCATCCTCCATGAACACAGACTCGTACACGGGCATTGTTTCTTCTCCACAAAAGTAGCCTTTGCTGTCAAAGCTTTGGCCGGGAAGTTCTTCTGGAATCACGAAGCAAGTAGAAAGATTTGTCATGGGTTTCCAAAACTAGAAGCAAACTTCTTCACTTATGTATCTCATTGTTAATAACACCTCACAAGCATCAAAAGTGGACAATCAACAAGAATATGCCTTCAGAGATAGAAAGCCCACCTTGTAGCCGTCACCAAATCACAAAGGCGCACATGCCTCTAAGTCCACGTGATGACTGAATCCACAGTTCTGCAGAACACTGGACCCAAAGCTACACTAGATCTACCACTGTCATGTGAGAAGTGGACCTTCACGAAGAAGAAGAATGTGATCAGGCATGAATCTGTTGGGCACTTAAGGGAGCATATGATCTTCCATGCTGGGTCAGGATCATGGTTTGTCTAGCTCAGTGTTGCCAACAGACACTCAAAGAACGGGCTGACAGAAAGTCTTGGTTAACTTCCCTGATGTCACTTAGGTATACTTAGAAAACATTTATGACACTTATTGATGTGCATATATTTGCCCAAAGGATCTATCTCAATTGGCTTGACATTTCTGAATGCTCTTTAATTTGTTTGTAAGGGTAATGAAAATACCAGATCAACACCAGGGCCAAAACCTTGATGTCAGATTGGTCATACATATGCTATACCAAATGAACAGTTGGAAGACACAAAAAATTGGTCAAATCCCTTAACTATGGATCATTTAAAGTATAAACTAAATTGCTGGATTTCAGCTTCTAGGCATAAAGGTACCAGCCCCCTTCGACTCCCCATTCTGCTTCACCCTCTTCTTTCTTCAGGCCCCCACCGAAAGACGTTTCCCTTGGTTGGTTATCCATGAGTTAAGTTCCTTTGCTGGCCTTGAAATCAGCACCATTTTCAGCTGTGTATTTAAAGTGTAACAACACTTGAGCTGAAACTGAATTCTGTCTAGGCAAGAGATGTGCTTATGTGTACAAAGCAAAGAGCAACACAGTAACTCCCAGTTACCGAACAAAACCAGGGTAATCTGGGGAAAGGTAACTCGCCCTCATGGAAACAGTGGCATGGTTCCTGCCAAATTTCAAAGCAACCTTCCTGCTAAGGCCATTGGACACAGAATCCGTGTGATGCTGTACCTCTCAAGGATTTAAACTTATTGAAAATTAAATAAATAAAAGTATGGATTTGTTTTTTTTTAAAGTGTAATGCTCAAATCAGCAACAGCAAAGGGAAGCTGAGGACCCTGAAAACTGAGTATGTGCAGAAACCATCTGTAAGAACAACTGATGAAAGCATTGTGTATTGAGTGCTTTGCACCTGTGATTCTAATTGGGGGGGCTCACTGTTAGCCATTTGGACCAGAGGTAATCAAACTGCTAGTGTGTATCTCTTGCTGATCTGATTCGCTTTCCAACCCTCACCACCATTTGGGCGCTGAAAGAACAAAATCCAAGTCTTCTCTGGGTGATTCCAGATTGGATTACTCAATTTATAGATCACCTTAGAATCAAGCTTTCTTTCTCCTTTTGTCTTTTTTTTAAAGTTATTTAATTACTCGATGGGTTGGTCTTTTTTGGTTCCATTAGGTAATTAAGGGATGTGTGTGAGCACTTTTCAAATGGGTGGAGGGGGGAAGAGGTCACTGAGTCTACCGGAACCTCTGTGTATTTAATTACCAGCTTTAGAATGAGAGCCAGGTTCATGTGTTCAGTCTTCCTCACCAGCTTAATACTGGCTATGGCTCTAACTGCCATGTGAAATCCATGATGGCACGGCAAGTACCTGTAACATGCTAAAAGTTCTCCCAGTGTCCTGAAGAGTCATCTTGCACCACCACCCCTCCCCTCCAAGAGCTTCATTTACTCACCAGAAGGGATCTACAAACCACAGAATCATTAGCGACTCAACCTCACTGGTACATAAAAATATTGAGTAAATAAACAGAACGTGTCTTTCGAGCTACCTACTCAGCAACGTCTTTTTCATTTCACACACTCTACTTCGAGGTGCTTCCCGATCACTCCATTTTCACCTACTTTCATTTTCTTCTGGGGAAGCAGGCCATGCCTCAAGTCATTTCTAGCCATTGCCACTTCCCACGAGAATGCTCCTGTCCTGAGCCCCCCAGAACTAAGAAACTGGGGAACCATTCCTTATGGAAATGGGGGTGATGGATGCAGGAGATGTATTATCCTGGCCCAAGAAACAAACTTTAAGTCTTAAGGGGGGCTTTTTCTGCTCGAACCTAAAGGGGGTGTGTCATTACAGGATTTTCAGGTATTGGGGTGGTATGGTGGGGTTGAGAGGTGAGTTGGGGAACCTTCAAAGAGCGGAAGTCCTACACAGCCCTGCAGACGGCCACTGATACACAAGGCAAGGCCAACCTCTACAAGAGTGAAGAGAAGAGAGAGAGGTAAATTCCACATCTTTTCTTTTGGCCTTGGTTTGGTACTGGAGGAGCCTGCAATCATTTGTTGTGGTGAAACTTTCGGCTGGATCATCAGTGACTTTTATTTCTTTTCCCTTCTCAACATGAATAACTGAATTTACTATTGGTTTTTCCATCGGTCTTCTTCCCTCCTCACTCCTTTATTCCTTTTCCTCTGTGTCTTGTGTCATTTTCTAAGAGGCTGAGGATGTCACGATCTTCCCATTTCTCACCCCTTCACATCATTCAGAACTCTCAGAGGGGAGGGTATAGATCAGTGGTAGAGCACATGCTTAGCATGCACAAGGTCCTGGGTTCAATCCCCAGTACCTCCACTTAAAAATAAATAAATAAATGAAATGAAAACCTAATTATACTCCCTCCTGCAAAAAAATTTTTAAAAAACCTCTACTCAAACAGCATTCTTTAAAGAAGCAGTCCCTGACCAGTCTTTTGAAAGTGCTCAGCTCTGCAGGTCCCATTCACTATTGCCTGATCCTGTTTGTTTTTTCTTCATGGTACTCATTGCCACTGATAATTCCCTTATTGGTTTGTGGTCATTATCTTTCTTCTCCCACTAGAATGTAAGGAGCATGCTGGCAAGTAGCCGGCGTCTGTCTGCTTTCTCTCTCTACTTTCAGTACCTGTAACGGTGTCTTGCACACAGTAGGCACAAAATACGTGTCTCCAGATTGAATGCTGCACAAACAAGTACATGCCCCACGTGGCCCTGAAGCTGCTGAGTACCCAGGTCTCTGCGGATAGTGACTCTTGTCGGGCAATGGGACTACCAGGAGACTTTCCATTTGCAGACACCCATGTGTGGCTCACTGAGGGACAGGTGTGCATGGAATAGGACAGACACTCTCTCCTTCCATGCTGCCCTGTAAGTCCTCCTCTCTACATGTCTGAGCAGTGTGGGAAAGCAGGAAAGGCCTCTCTTCCAGAGAAACAGGTTTAGTCAACGAGACTCTTCAATATATCACCAATTGGGATTCTAAGGGAAGTCTTTAAAATAATGGTTGTTTAACACTTTTTCTTTTCTAAAAAATGTGAACATAAATTTAATTTCTCTGGATTAAATGCCCAGAAGTGGAACTGCCAGGTGGTATGGTAAAGGCACATTTAGTTGCTTTTTTTTTAAATTGAAGTATAGTTGATTATTACTTTGTCTAATTACAAAAGTGCCTATTGTTGAAAATTTAGAAAATACAGATAAAAAGGAGAAAATAAGAGTTACCCATAATTCAGTCACCCAAATACGACCACTATTAACATTCAGCCATATGCCATTCTAGTCTTTTTTTTTTTTGATCTAAGTATATTATCAATGCTTTTTTTCTTTAAATACAAGAAGTGGGATCATAACATACATATTGTTTTGTAGCTTGCTCTTGTCACTTAACAGATATATTGCAAACATCTTTCTGTGCCATTAAACCTTGTTCTATGGTGATTCTTAATGGCTGCATAATATTCCACAGTACAGGTACACCATAATTTATTTAACAATTTCCATAGTGGCGGACTTTCAGTTTGTTTCGAATATTTCACCATTGTAAACAGTACTGCAGAAAAAATCCTTGTTTGTATATCTCTGTATGTCCCTGATTACTTTCTTTGGACTCCTAGGAGTGAAACTGCTTAGCCAAAAAGTATGAACGTAAAGGTTCTAATAAATACCACCAACCTGAAAGGCAGTGCCTGCTCTGTGTCCTGTTCTCACACCTTTTTGATTCCTTCACTCTTACTTGAATCACCTACACCAATAAAATCCTAACCACACAAAGAGATGGGATTTGGTCCACAAGTCTGAAATTCAAATTGCAATATTATATAGTGGGAGAGTTTATCTTACCTGAGGTAGTTTAGCTGACTATTAGTTTGTATCTGAAATTATCTTATTGAATTACTTTTATCTTTATAGGTGTTAGACCCTTGACAGAAGAGAAAACTGTGTTGGTGGAAGTACTCCTAAGTGATACTAAAAGGCTTGGGGATCCAGTGAGATTGCAGACTTGGAAGCTGTAATAGGTCATCGTAGCTGGGTGGCCCCCATGTCCACATCCTCAGAATGTGCTCTCTCCCTACTCCTAATGAGTACATTTCCTCATCAAATTTAATGCCCAAATTCTTTACTCCATATCAGATAGCTCCTGACCTTCCTATCCACACCCTGCCCCCTGTTTACTCTGGAAGATGAAGGTCATTACATTAAGAAAGATTTTGTTTGTGTCATAGCTCAGTGCTTCTCAAACTTTAATGTGCATTGGAATCGCCTGGGGGGCTTTGTTAAAATGCAGATTCTGATGCAGGTCTGGGGTGGAACCTGAGAGCCTGCATTTCTGACTAGCTCCCAGGTGCTGCTGGTCCTCAGACCACATTTTGATTAGTAAGACCATAAACCACCCTGGGCCTGCAGCAGTGGTTCCCAAACTTGCCCGCACATGAATATTGCCTGGAGATCTTTTAAAAATTCCAAATCCCAGGCCACATCTCAAATCAATTAAATCATAATCTCTGGGGATGAGACACAGGTATTTTTAAACACTCTCTGGGGGATTCCAATGTGCAGACAAGTTTGGGGACAACTGGCCTACATGAAGATGCTCAAATTATGTATATGTAATGACTAAGTTTATATTTGCCTGCTACTCATGAGGAATTGCCTAAATTGAATAAATGATTTAGCTCTCTGCCTACATATAAAAACGTTTGGTTTTTCATCTGTTTACAAAAATGCTTTGCAGGTTGACATCAGACATGATAAATTCATGTGCCTGGAAGGGAATAATTTCATTCAGTCCTAGAATGTTAGAGCTGGGAAGGGCCTAAGAAATCTCCTCTAACTCTTTTATTTTGCAGAGAAGGAAACAAGCTCAGAGAGGTGAAGTGACTTGCTCCAGGTCACACAGGAAACCAGTGGTAGAGCCTGGGCAAGAATGCTTGTTCGCTAATCCAGTACTCTGTCAACCCCAATACTACAGACTGTATTTTTTTTCTAGCTCATGTGTCAAAACCACCATTTAAGTAATTGATTTCCCTTTTTGAAAATCAGACATTTTCTATGGGCCTGGAAAAAACAATGGGATGGAAGTGACCTGGGTTCTGAGTCTTGGTTTTATTATCTATTTCTCTGACTCTGGGGAAGTCATTTCACTTTATACAACTCAGTTTTCTTATCTTTAATAGAGAAATAATAATATCATTATAGGATTTGAGTATTGGAAGGAAGCTTGGAGATCAATTGTTTCAAACTTTCTATTGTGCAGATGAGGCTGCTGTGGCCCAGAGCAGATGTGGCACATTTCCAAGGTCATACAGCAAGTTACTTAGGACCAGAACCCACTCTCCTTCCACTACACCTCACCTATCTCTCATCCTGCCTCACAGGGGAAAGGGAGGAGTTAGTGATATAAACAGAAGGTGCTACTTACTGTCCCTCCTAATAATCACATTAACCTATTTTCTCTACTATTTAGAAAAGCAAAGCTTCAGTTCAGCCCTTAGGGCTACATGTGGTCAAAGGTGTGGTAGACATAAGCAAATCCCCAGCCTATTTCTGAGAAGTAAATTTCTTCCAAGCAACCATCTTATCAGCCCTTCAAGAGAGGAGCAAATGTAGTTCGTTTAGTTATTAGCAGAACTATTACTGTTACAAAATGGCAGGTTGTGATGACGTTTTCTGATGCTCAAAGAACATTGAGAATGACTACGTGGGGATCTCCATCAACCAAAGGCAGGGCTTCCAACCAACGCACCTTTTGCCTTTTTACCTGGACACACCTTGCAGCACTTTCCGTCTATTTTTTGAGGATACTTGCAGGGGTATCGATTGGGGCAATGGATTTTCTTGCACTCTTGCTTGGTGACGTTACAAGTGCACAGCACACACTCCACAATGCCAAATGCCCGGAGGTTTGGGTGCCAGGACTCGCCATGGGAATAGGTCTTTCCATTGGAAACACACACTGGAAGAGAACGCAGGACTGGAAATTAAAGGCTCAGGAGCTGAAATGGACCCCTATGCTCACAACCCAAGCCCTGAACCCCTTGAGACATTGAGCATCCTTTGTTCTTGTCATGGCCATAGAGATATGTTTACAGAGCAGCCTCTGTAGCCAAACAAACAGCTCGGGTCTTGTTCTACTGTCAGCTACTAATCAGGTCCTTCAGCAACAACCTCTGGATGCCCACAAGTGCCTGACACATAGTAGGCAGTCAATAAATATTTTTTAAATGGAGGAATGAATGGGTGCATAAAAGCAGAGTTCTATCTGTCCTGGGTGTCTGATAAGGAACCTCTGCTAGGATGTAGTGTTCATACCTGCAGCCCCATAGAGGATTGGTCTGGGCCAAGTGGATGTGCTTCTGGGCATGAAAATCTCCCAGAAAGATTTGCTGCCCAGGGAGGCTAGATGCAAAAACTACTGCTCTTCTCAAAAGGCCAGTTTCTCTAGATCCTAAAGTGAATCCATTCACAATGTCAAATGCTATAAGAATCTGATCTACTAATGTTGCCGGAGAATAGGTTCTTGTCTCGCACAAGGAAGAATTCAAGAGCAAGGCATAGTAAAGTGAAAGCAAGTTTATTCAGGGAGATATATACTCCATAGACAGAGTGTGGGCCATCTCAGAAGGCAAGCAAAAGAGCGACCACGAGGTGCAGGGTTGTTAGTTTTTATGGGCTTGGTAATTTCATATACTAATGAGTGGGAGGATTATTCCAGCTATGTTGGGAAAGGGGCAGGGATTTCCAGGAATTGGGCCCCACCTACTTTTCTACCTTTTACGATCAGCCTAGGAACTGTCATGGCACGTGTGGGTGCGCCATGAGGCTCAAGGTCTACTGGAAGTCGAATCTTCCGCCATCTTGGTTTTAACCAGTTTGTCCTGTCCTCAGTTGTTGTGTCATTCCTTTAACGGTTGTGCCTGCCCCCAGTCCTATCTCACTAACACAGATGGGTATGGAGCTTAATGGTGTTGGTCTACTTTCGGGCATGGGAAGGAAGATGCTAAGACAAGAATGAGAGGGAAAGGACCTATGCATCCCAGGTAAGTGGTGAAAGGCAGCCTTTTATGCCTCTAGTCTTCAGGCAATGTCCTGTGTCCTTCACCTCAGAGGGGCTATAGAGATTTGGCTATAGCAAATCACTGCCCACCCTAAAGATATCGTTTGGTGGCCTCACATTTGTTGAATGGAAGAAGAGTCACTGGCTCCATGTTTTCTGAGGGACTTTGCAAGAGCAAGCATCTGGGCTGCAAACCAAGGGGCAAATGCAGGGAAGGGGCCACAGGAACATCCTTCAGTGAAAACCAACCAAAACATAGCCAGCTCCTACTGAAAGGCACAGAGCTAGGCTCCAGCATAAGACCTGCACCGGGCTGCCAACAGGGAGGTCTGAGAATGAGTTCTCTCCCTTTCGAAAGTGCTGAGACATTCCAGAGATTTCAAGCCATGACGGGGATTGAGTGTGTTTCTCATTATTCCCATCACCTCATCATACCCAGGGAGACCTGTCGGCATCCCAGTCAACAACATCTCTAGGGTGGGTTGTATCACTTAAGGCGGGGCGAGAGTGGGAGAAATAGCCCCACTCGGGGCGTTTCTAGGAACTGACTGATTTGGCTGCAAGACAAGGGCCTCAGAAGGATGAATCACTGGGATATTTCTTTCTCATCAAGTCCACTGGGTCACATTAGGAAATATGGATGATGTTGGCTGTCTCTTCCTGTCCTTTGCAAGAGCTGCTAGAGTGCTAGGCACTCTAACTGGTCAATCCACATAAATATTTCCAAGAATCTAAACCAGAGAAGCTCCCAACCTTACAGTGAGATAGAACAGGGACTTCACATCTAAACTATGAGGCTCAGGGGTATGGATGGGATCACAGGACAAGACAGACCAGATGTGTTATTCTCTCTCCTGCCCTCCCCTCTTCTCTCTCTTCCCCGCAGGCAGTGACACACCCTTCTAGACAATGCGATCAAGTGGGTGCAGAATCTGCTTCAAGAAAAGTTCGGCTGGACTCAAATTAAAAATGGTGAGGTCCAATTGCTTCTCCTCTTGGACTCTAGCAAGGGACAAAGTAGATGCATCTCAGAGGAACATACTGTTAGCAGGAGGGCTAAGGAGTAGGGCAGGCAGGTTCCCTCTCCCCTAAACATTTGGACTAAGGGAATAATGCAGACTGGGTGAGAGCCTACACTCGGAAGTGCATTAGGGTGAGGTCAGTTCTCTAGGGAGAAAGGCAGCCTTCTCCGCACCAACAAATTCTCAAGATGATTTTGACTCATCCAGCTGAGGCTTCGAGAGTTGGAGGTGGGGACAAGTGACTTTCCAATGAACTAGAATAGAAAGGTCAGGAGACAATGGCTGCATCCAAATCAATGGGGGCAATGAATAAATGTAAACCAGCTGGGGCTTTTGTAGCATATGGAGAAATCAAGGGATGAGCCTCTGTCCTGAAAGTGAAGAGGCCTGTGGAAATTATGCGATTTAGGATTTTCAAAGTCCATTTCCCCCACACATTTTTTAAGGCTTTGAAATACTTTCAGAGCAAATGGAATCTATTGGAGGCAATTTAGGATTGAAAATCAAACTGCATCTTTACATAACTCCTCCTCCTCATTTCATAAATTCATATCAGAATGCCTTGGAATTTAAAAATAATAAATTTCAAATCAAACCCAGATCAATAGTAAATACTTCCAATTCTTCTAATACATCACCATTTTTATTAAGAGTTTTATTTTGAATGTTCTTCTTTTAAGCCTCTTAGTTTCAAAAGCAATTTAATTTTTTTATCTGTAATCTGAAATTTACATCTAACTAGTAACAGATGTGATCAACCAGCTTTGGCCTGACTAGCTTTGTTGAGATTTATAGTAGGAGTTCTTTGTAACGGATTGTTTTTCACCCATGTTATTCAATCATTTGGTTTAATAATTTATTACTTTTAACCCATTCAGAGAACTGCCTTTGATTTGTTTTTCCTTTAAAGGAAACAAAACATGTTTGTGGTTTCATAAAAAGGAACCAGCTGAGCTTTTGCTCTGAAGCGCTGGTTGACACAATGCCTAAAAAAGTAAGAAGCAGTCAATTGTTTGATTGAATTTCTCCTCCCCTCACCCCCGCTACTGGCGGGGCCCAGAGGTTGGGGGGTGTGGCCAGGGAACTCTGTGCAGGAGAGAACAGGACCTTGGATGTGTGTGGGTGCCTTTTGTAGCCAGCTGGTCAGCTGAGTGGCTGCATGGTGGTGTTAACCTGATCGGCCCTCCTGGTGTTCAGCCAGGAGGTTTCTGGATTTCTTACTGGATTACTCATTTCTAAGGCTAATCTCCTCCTATGAATTAGAATATCTGAGCATGAGGCCTGGAATAAGTACCTCTAGCAAGATCCCCAGGAGAATCTGGGGTGCAATGAGGGGCGAGAATTGCTATTCCTAAGGTTTGGATAAGAGCTTCAGAAGTTAAGCACTTAGTACCTTTGACTACTGGAAAACAACCAGTCTTTCATTTTGTTAAAGCCCCAATGAACTTTCCCAAATGACCTTCAACCCCCAGGGGCAACTGAGAAAGTGCTGGAGGGTGCATTATGTTCACTGCTTTCTTGCCTTTTGTTTAAAATAAGGACAGATACAACTGAAATACAAACTATGCTCTTTGCGCTATATTTAGGGAAGTCCAAGGAGTCCCCTGGAGTCACTTGTCCACATTCACTTGGTAGACCAGATGGCGAGTGATCCACATGTGAATGTATGATATGCATGAGAGAAAGGGTCCTTTCCCGGCTCTAGCCCTCCAAGGACCAGGACTGCTGAAGCCCTGGCGTAGGTGCGAAATCAAAGAAGCATGCCCCTTACCTTGTCCATGCTTATGTTTGTTATTGATGACAATCTGCACGATGGTTCCCGATGCTTGCTGGGAATCCATGAGAGCTCCCCGGTGACTTCTGGACCCAGGAAAGCGGGGCAGACCTCCAGCCTGTCGGCTTGGTGGAGGATCATAGTGAGAGCGGTGGTAGGAATGTCTCTGTAAAATGACAAAGGACAGACTCAATTCCCTAAATCTGCCAATGAGAAGGCGCAGATGGACTTAGCTACATGAGAAGCTGTTTGATGATTTTTAGTGATGAGCTCTGATCATAACTGCATGTCCTCCCACACCAACAGAGAAATTGGGATGTGAAAGAAGAACAGCCCAGGCCATATGCTAAGATTTTTCTCTCTCCTTGTAGAAGACTGGACTAGATTTACAGATGGGCTCCTGAGGGGAAAACAGCCAAAAAGACTAAAGTGTCTTTCCTGCTCCCAAGAATCTCACATTCGGGTTTAAGAATTAAGGTAGTAGCCTGCAAAGCAGGCAAATGTGATGGAGGCCACAGGAGAAGTATGAAATCCTGTGCAAATTAGGACAAGAGAGAGAGCTTCTAGTCGGGGAGGGTTTGTGACCTGGGCCATGAAGGGTGAGTAGACTTTTTACAGACAGAGTTGGTGAGGAATATTCCAGGCAGAGATTTCCAAGTTGAGAAGGTGTAGCAGAGAACACAGAGTCCATAAAAGGGAACAGTTGAAGGATAACATTCCAAAAGTGGGTTACAGCCAGATCATGGAGGACTTGAAATGACAGGCTAAGGGGTGAGGACTTTATTTGGTAGGCAATAGAGGTGAGGGTGTAGAAGCCTTTGAGGGTTTTTTTTTTTGAACAGGGGAAAAAAATCAGAACTGTGTTTCAAAGCATTGAGCCCTGATAATGTGTAGAGTGAACTGGATAGGAGGAAGAGATGGGAGTCTAGTTTAGATGAGACGTACCGAGACTCCAAATGCAGGCAGTGGCATGAGATCATAGAGCAGGACACAGACACCCCAATGTTTTATAGACAGAAGAATGGGCCATGCAGGACAGTACTAGAATGTCAGCTCCATTTTGTTTTGCTCACTGCTTTATCTCCAGTGCCTGGAACAGTGTCTAGCATCTAGAAGGTGTTCATCAAAGTCTTCTTGAATTAATGAAGGAAAGCTGTGGTCCCTCTTGGAAGCTTAGAGTCTTGAAGTACAAGTAACCCAATCATTGCTCTTTCAGCAAGGGTTCAAGACATGATGAGGCCACTGTTCTGCTACCACCCCTCGCCCAGGAGCCTAAGTAGAGTGGGGGTGGAGGAGGATGGAATGGATGAAGAACAGAATCTCAAGGCTTAAAGCCAAATAACATTGTGTTTTAGGGGTAACTGTTAGGGTTAAAGGAGTGGGGAGTGAAACTCATGAAAAAACCTTTTGCAGGCAATTAAAAAGGAAGATCCTTATGTTCAGTGATAGAAATGTCTGGCAACATTGAGAAGGTAGTTATGGGGTCCCCTGACCCCACCATCCCATAAAACATTTATTACAGTTATGTTCCATAGACACATATGTTACAAATTTAGCTTTGGGAATGATTACTCTCCTGGTGGCGGGGGGAGGCACTGGTGGGAGAAGGGGAGAGTGAACAGGAGCTGGAGTAAGAGAAAGAGAACACTATTCTATATCTAACAAGAGCCCATGCTGGTGCATTGCTATAAAAACTCACACAAATAAGAATTTGCATCCATTTATTATGCACACAGGATTCTCAGTGCAAATATTTTTCATTCCCACAATGGCTCATATGTCTTTTTCTACCATAATCACTCACATTCCACAAAGGCCATTACAAATTGTTCTGTCCTTTCTGGAGTTTGGCAAACTTTTGCCAAAGGAACACAGAGAGGACAGTTTGGCTGGTGGGTGTCCTACTGATGCTAAAAGGAGTGGGTTCGAAGGGGCTAGAATTTGAGAGGGAGGGTCGCTGACCCAGGATAAGCTGCAAATACAAAGAGTTCTCTGATTCATGAGGGTGAACACAGGATGAAAAGCCGTTCTTTGGTACCAGGGACTCAGATCCTGGAAATATGATAAGGGTAGAAAAATGAATCAAGACAAAAAAACCCTCAAGGGTTTTTAATCAGAGGCCCAAATATAGACCAGTCAGTTCCCCTAAACCTCATCTTATTTAAGTCTTTTGTTTTACACACAGAGAAAGTGAGGCCAGAGAGGAGAGGGGCTTTATTCAGGGTGACAGCGAAGGCTGAGTTTTTAGAGATGGCAGGAGAGCAGGGAGGGAGAGAGGAAGATGAACAGGAGGAGGAGGCAGAGTGGGAGGACATAGGAGAGATCACGTCTGATCCAGCTCGGGGGTCCACAAACATTTGCTTAAAAGCTGCTCCAAAGAAAATTTCTTTCCAATTGAGAAGTCTGCTGCAGCATTCACAACCACACACACCACTGGTCTCTCCGCTGCACAAGGAGTCACCTGGGGAGCTGTGAAAATATTAGTCCCACCCCCAGGGACTCTGATGGAATTGATCTGGGGTGAGGCCTGGGCATCAAGACTTTTATAGACTCCTCAGGGGACTCTAATATGAAGCCAAGGTTGAGAATCACTGAGATAAAAGATCTTCTGTTTCGGCTTGGGGATGGGGGTGCTGATGTGTGATTTTGATTTAGGAGTAATGGCTCTTTTAGAGTCGCTCCCCCGAACAAATGAAAGAGGCTTACCAGGGGCCGGTCTGACCTTGTAACTTATAACGAAGGAGAAAAAGGCATTAACGCCTTGGAGTTGTAAGTGAAATTGGAGCTTATCTTTAAAACCAGCTGTGAATAGGCTGCTTGAGAGAGCAGGTCAAAACCAGTTAGGTAGAAACGATCCAATAGCTAGGCTTTGTTTTTTTTTTTCCTGCTCAGTATTTTGGTATTACTTGATTTACTGACTTGAAGGGCTGACAAATATCTCAGGCTTTTGAGGTGGCTGTTACACAGTTCTTTTCTGGTGTTGGAAAATCCCCGGCATTGCAGGCAGGACTTACCCAGGAATTTCTTCTTTACTTGTTCTAAGGTCTAATATATAAAGGTTTTATTGGCAGAGACAGGAAAACATGAAAATGTAGAAGTGGCCTTAGAAGTGCCTCCATGGTTCTGATCTTGTGCATTTGGCCGGATGTTACGATTGGGGGAAAGAGGGTAAACGGTCCTCACCATCTCTCTGCATTCTCTCTCACAATGGCAAGTGAATCTACATTTATCACAGAATAAAAAGTTTAATTTAAAAAAAGTCTTCAGACTGCGTTCGAACCCACACAGCCACGAGCACATTATATCTTAGTCACAAGTAACCTAGGACTATGCCTATCTGGGAGAGACGTAGGCCAGTTTCCTATCCAGAGCACTGTCCTGACAATGTGAATGAGACATGGATTTTTATCTGTCTCGTATTGTTTCTATCCCAAATTCTTTCACTTCTCTAATGGGAAATCTCTGAGTAATCCACTGGGGGCAAAATCAGAGTTTGGCTGTTGTCCAAAACAAAATGATGCTTGCTTTCATGTTTTGGCTTTCCATCCTGTGCCTACTTCTTTCTCCTCACATAGCCGCCCCTCTGCCCCCACAAACATATACACGCTTCCCCTGACGGTACAAGGACCAGTTCATATGAAGTTATGATCTGGAAATCAAACAGAAACTGTTCCAGGTTTTTACAAAGGAGTCATCATTGAACCATTGGTTCTCCTTCGTGTACAGTTCAGAAAACTTGGTATACTGATGGTTTTCAGCCCACTTGGCAAAATAAATCAATCAGCTGTGTTTCTGTTGAACCGAGGCTGTGATGGTCCCCTGGGAATAGGAACAGTCTACTAAAGAGGCCATCCACTGAATCGGAAATGTGTTGTTAGGGCTGCCCTTTCTCCCATGCAGAAAGTAGGGCCTGCAAAGGATAGTCAGAAGGGATTCTCCTATCTTCTAATAAGTTTGAAGAATTTCTGATTTGGGACAAAGTCCTGTGCATTAATGTTAAGGAACCCCCCCACCCTCTACCACACACACACACACGTACATTTCACTCCACCTTCCAAACCCATTCATTCAGCATGTATTTATTGGGTGCCGACTATGTGCCAGGTACATACTTTCCCATTACTACAGATGCTACTTATTATTCAAATCATATCCCACAATATCTATTCCTTGTAGAACAAAGGAAAATATTTATTTATAATAAAGTGGAACCATCTGGACATTTTGGCCTACCAGGCCAAATGTTTGTTTCTAAAGATAGGTCTTGAACTCCTTTGAAAAATCTCTAACTCTTTCAAGGTCCTGCCTCCTATACCTTACCTCTTTTGCTACAGGAAGTATCGGGTAAAATCTAGCCCTATCACCAGCAGTTTAGGAAGAACAATGAGGCTGAAAGAGAATGATGGAGGTGGGGGCAGTGTGATATGAAGTCAAGGAGAAAGGCTAATTAATGGCATTTCCAGCAAGACCACTGAGGTGGCCACGGTGCTTAGTGCTGGGGGCTAAGGCACTGGGCTTAAGGTGACTGAGAACTAAATTTGGCTTAGAATATACCATATGATTGACAGCCACTAATTTAGGCACTCTCAACTTCCTACCGTGATAAAAAATTGGGGCTGAGAAAAAGGAAATGCACAACATAGAACACGGAGGCTGATATCATCTCCTGTCAGGATCTGGAAGGAATCTCAGTACAAAGCAGATAGAGCTGGATGGAGAAAATCTTTCCTTGGGGCCTATATTAACCTGCAAACTGGGAAGCCCACCCTTTCTTGCAGGAGTGCTGCTTCTTTGAGATATCCAGAGTATTATTCTCCACTCCACCCACAAATTCTTCTACACTTATTTGGAAACAGCCATGTCTAGAAAAGAATATGACTAGAGAATAAAGCAAATACATATCCTTTCATTTCATGGCTGAGGGTGTTGGCAAGTAGGGGGCACGCAAGTAAAAAGTGGCACATGTGATGGCCTTAGCCATGCTGTGATGTTGTACTGGTCGCTTTATTAGGTCCTGGATCAACACCCTCTCTATTCTCAGGCCTGACCTATAATTCTGGAGTCTCTTGCCTTATATACAATGCTTGTTGAGAACTAACTCCTAAGGTTTTAAAAATCATTTAAATTTGAGTTATTGCACAATGAATTCATGCTCATTGAAAAACATCAAAAAATACAGAAGATACAAAATAAAAAATCGAACACTATCTTTCCTCCTGCCCACTTCCACCCCTCTGAGAGTCTCATTCTTTTAACATGTTGATATGTGACCTTCTAGATCTTTTCATATACATTTAAGGCATGCACACACAATTTTTACATAAGGAAATGACAGTATAAATTGTATCCTGTATCTTGTTTTGTTTTTATAGTATATCTTGGCAATCCCTCCACTTTACTACATTTTTAAATATATATTTTTATTTAAGTATAGTCAGTTTACAGTGTGTCAACTTCTGGTATACAGCACAACTTTAATACATTTTGATGTACCACATTCTTTCTAACAACTGTATGGTGTCCCATAGATTAGGTATGTTTAACCAAGCCCATGCAGATAGCATTTAGATTTTCTCCATTTGTCTTGCTTTTTTGAAAATAATTCTGCATTGAATGCTCTGTACACTTCTTTTGCACAAGGGTATGATAAACGCCCATCTGTGTGCAATGAATGCCTTGGGACATTTTGTACTTTTTGTAAGCTTTTTTTTTATTGAATGAAAGATTCTTTAAATTCTATGGTGCTTGACAATTTTCAAAAGTTTCACACACATGACTTCATGTAATCCCATATGGACTCATATAAAGTCCTTCAATATGATAGATCCTTTGAACTGGAACATCTTTTCAGGTTTTTAGAGGTTTGGAGTGTAACTCTACTTAGACATATATTTCTTAGAGGGATTCTATTTTGTTAATTACTTCAAAATACAAAGGAACAAGAGATGATATTACTATACATAGAAAGATGCCTGCTCATAAAGCTTATTCTGAGATTAGCACCAAGAATGGAAATGAGAAGATGTTGCAGGTTGAGGAAGGGAATCTGGCTGCTACCTTCCCTCTGTTCCAGCTGTACGACTCAGAGTCTGAGGCTTAGGCGAGGGTTTATGTGGACATGTCCAAAGTATCTGGGCCAAAATGATGCGCTGACCTACATTCCAATCTCCAGAAGGTCCTCACTGTTGAGGCTAGGGGTGGTGATCTGCCTTCCTTACCCAAGACGAAGATTAGGCAAGTCATTTCGAAAGGGTACCAACTTCTAATCTAGATGAGGGGTGCCTCAGGGCTGGGCTATGATTTCTTGGAATTCATGTCCTGGCCCCATTTACCAATTACACAATGCACTTAAATGGTTACAGGTTGGTGGTGGTGGCATTCAACATTTCCAAGGAAAGGGAAGAAAAATAGTGTTAAAAATGGGCCCTCTTGTGGAATTGCTGGGACAGTAGCCATGGAGAGAGGGAAGTCTGGCCTGATGCTGGGGAGTTTTGAATTATTTGAGCTATTCACACTTACTGCTTCTCTGTTGGCAGGCTGCCTGAAGATATCACCATCAGAATGTTCCCACGACAATTCTCCATCTCCTGTTTATTAAAAAGAAATAAAAAAAGAATTAGACATACATAAAAGGGAACAATACCACCCCTGTGACCCAGTAACATTTTAGGTTCTATGATCCCGAGGTTCTTTAGACATGTTAGCTATTGTAGCTGTCCTTCAAACAGCAACGCTGGAGATTTCTTTCTGGGTGTGCCTCATTTTTCAAGACAACTCTGAAGAAAGCTGCCACTTTCTAAAATAGAACATCTAGCAACATTACACAGAATTTGGAAAATAAAAGGGAAAATAATCACTTTCCACTGTAATAGAGCCATCATTGTCACTTTTGCTTATTTTACTCTGATGATAGTTAAGTATTTTCAGGTCATTTTCAACTTGTGTTTAAGCTACCCTTAAAAAATGAGAGTTTTGAGGATTTGGTCTGTCATGATTTGTTAAATTCACCATTATGTCTCTGAGAAGTTATGACTTGATCTGAAAGTTAAGTAAAACTTGCTATGGTTGGAGTGTTTACATAACCAGTATCCAAGAGGTACTCCTCTGTTTTTGCCTGAGACACCTTTCTCTGGGTCTCTATGACCCACTCTTTGAACAGTGAATCCCTATCATTGCTGTCTTTCAGAGTAACTACTTTTAGGAGGAAGATTCTACTTTCAGCCTTGAGAAAAAGAAACACACAACAGATGTGGATATTTCTCAGTTGATTAAAAATAATAAACAAGAGGATAACCTCCAAGAATATTGCCTTGTATTATCTATAACCAAGCAAACAGATGGGAAGAGCTTGATATTAGAGATACTTGCACCACTCTAAATGATTACTCTGTGTGTGTATGTGTGTGTGTATACCTGGTTGAAGATAAACACAATATCTATTCAACCGTATATTTCATGGAATAACAAGGAATACAAAAGTGTATAAACATTAAGAATCTTCTATTCTAATTTATCTCCCATGCTTTCAAAACCTAAGTCTAAACAATAACATGTTCAAGTACTGTTACTGGTTTAGGGCTTGAAAAAGACCTGAAAATTAATTTGATACCAATATTATCATCAGGCAGCAATGTAAAACAAAGCACGGCTTTAGCTCTCCATGATTCAAAGATCATCTTATGGGAAAAAAAATCATGAATTCTGTAAATTTAATTCTGGTTGCTAGGTTAATCTTTCTAAAACACAGCTTTGATTGTATAATCGTGTTATTCCCTGATCAAAACCCTCCATGGGTTTCCATCCAAGACTCTATAATCAGCCCCCACCTCATCTAACTATCTGAGCTACTCTACAATGGGAACCCTTTGACCTCATTACTCTTCATTGAACATGTAGCTCCCACTCTTGCTTCCATGTTTTTGCTCATGTTATTCCTTTTCTGAAGTTAACTTCCCACCTCCCACACCCCAAAGCTCCTATATGACTATGAAAACCATTTAAGTTTTTCCTCCTCTACAAAGTCTTCCTCAAGTATTCTTACATATTTCCAATTGCCTAAAGGACTTAGCATCCTGTAGCCTCAGAGGTGCATAGGACTTCAGGCATAATTTTGTCTAACTGTTCCATTTAACAGGTGGAGAAACCAAGGCTCAGAGAGGGCAAGGAGTCCTTCACTCACCTAATGAGTTGACGAAAATTAACACCCAAAATCCCAGATTTCTTGGCTCCCAAATAAGTGTATCCATTCTCCAGGGGCAGGGTTTATTATTTGTGTTATTTGTGGCTGTATCACCATCATCTATAACAGTGCCTGACATATAATAGTCACTTGATAAATACTTGTCAAATGATGGAACTGGGAGGCCTTCTATGACCACCTATCTAAAATTTCAACCCCCTTCTTATAATTCCTATCCCCCCTCTTTGCTGCTTCTTCTTAGCACTTCACAGTATCTTACATTTTACATATTTTATTTATTGTCTGCTTTCTCCCATGACAATTCCCCAATGAGAACAAGGATTTTTGTCTGTCATGTTCAGTGATGTAATCCCAGCACCTAGAACAGTGCTGGGCACACAGTACTTATTCAGATTTTCTTGAATGAATCAATACTAAAACACTTTACAATATTTTCTGCTGTTAAATATTTCCTGAGCCTGCTTTGTCTCCCTGAAGAGACTGTAAATCCCTTGAAACCAGAGATCATGTCTTCGATCTCCCTCTGTATTGCTTACATCACTGGTTCTCAAAGTGTGGTCTCTGGACCGGCGGCAGCAGCATTACTTGGGAACTTGTCAGAAATGCACAATTTTGGACCCCACCCCAGACCTACTAAGTCAGAAACTCTGAATCAGTGGGGATCAGTGATCTCGGTTCTGACAAGCCCTCCTGGGGATTCTGATGCAAGCAAGAATTTGAGAATAACTGGGCTGAAGCACTTAGCATATTCCTGGTTACATATCAGGTGCTCAGTATACGTACTGAATTGAACTTCAGTTAAAAAAAATACAGAATTAAGTGCTTAGCTAATAGTATACTTGCTTCTACCTGGTTATTCCACGTCTGAGTAAAGATGGCAGACAAGACTACATGGAAACCCTGATTAACCCTGTAAGGGCGAATATGCTTTCACCTTTGTTCATGTCAAAAAATAATGCTCAAACATCAGCTAACTGCATCGAATGCTTCTTGGGTGGAGAGCCTGATACTAAGGCAGAAGGAGAAGAGAAATCAGGGCTGGACCCTTGCCCTCAAGACATTTACAACCTGTTTGGAGGTGACAGGAAATCAATAGAGAACAGAGCCTAAACACACACACACACAGAGTAGCAACTGGAAACACAAATGGCATATACATGCTTAGGAGATACTGAATGTGTCGAGTGAGCAGTCAGATGTAATCATGGAAAGCATCCCCAAAGAATTGTTAAACCACATCTTTAGAAGTAGATACTGCAGGGTATAAACAGACAGTGATGTGGATAAAAGGAATCTCAACTGAAGGGAATGGCATTTACAAAGGACCAAAGCTTTGGAAATAGTAAGTCACATACTGGACACAGCAAGTAAGGCGTGGCTTGAGTAGAAACTTCAGATGTGAAGCAAGAGAAATGAGGTTGGTGGAGAGAGGTGGGAGGGAGAGAGGCTGGTAGGAGGAAGGGCGAGAGGGAGGAAGGGAGGAAGACAGGTTATTGAGGTAACCAGGGTGGTAAATAATTGCCACATAGACTTCAAAAAGAAGCTGAAGAATTCACATTTGATCATGTTACAAATTTTTAATTAGAGGTGCCTATGGTAAAAATGATATCTGTGGATGCTTATCCTGGCAATGGAGTGTTGACTGGTTACGGAGCAACCGGAATCTGGGAGGCCAACCAGAAGGCTGTTGTAGTAATATGTGATAGGCCATGAGAGTCTACAAAAGAATGGAGAAGGGGTGAATCAGACTACTGCAGATAACAAGAAAATGATAAGACCGTGGTGGAAGATTTGATAATCGAGGCTGAAGGCAAAAGAGAAAAGTATAAAATGACTCTAGAGCTGCAGATCTGGAGAGCTGGGGAATGGCACAGCCCTTGACAGTGACTGAGTGGGGATAAACTGGGATTTACTTGTTCCGTTTTAGCTGGTAGCAGTGGATCTAAGCTATGTCCTCAGCCACATGAAAATATGGAACCAGAAAGAAGGAAGCTTTGAAACCAGAAAAGATTCGCCAGCCAATGGCAAAACAAAACGTAAATGCTATAGTATGTGGTTTCAAGCCTAATCGAAGCAGCCAAAAGAGGACAAATTATAAAAGAAAAAAATGGTAGACTGGCTCTCTTCATCAAATGTCCATATAAAATATAGATTTAATAATCAGTATTGACATGAAATGTTTATTCACACGACCTTCTAAGAAGTTCAATTTATTGCATTTAGACCCTAGAGTCATAAAAGGGCTTTTAAAGAGTGTCTTTAAATACTTAACAGTCCAGCCAGAAGCTTAAAACAATATAGAAGCATACAGTCCCTGTTAAATAAGGAGAAAGGCAAGATAAAGGGACGAGGCAAGTCATTTATCAAGCAGACTATTAAATACCCTAAGCACAAGTTCAGATGAATGTGTCACAACCACCCTAAGCGTTAGCAGACGTTATGTCTACCTAAACTTGAACTATTTCACTTCATTAAAAGCTACTGGAGCTATTACTTGTGTGTGTGTGTGTGTGTGTGTGTGTGTGTTCTCAATTAGGTACTACTAGTATTTTTGTTGCCTTTGAGCTTTCAAAGTCATCAAAATGGCATTCTCTAAGCTTGAATGTTCTGTAAGTAGCCAGTAAGGGTTTCAACATTTTAGTTATTTTATATATGAAGCATAGTTAAACTTGAATTATCTTCTTAGATGTTCACATTTTGTATGGCTATAAAGTGATTCTTTAGACAGGGGCAGGGTCTGTCTGGAGAGCTGAAAATAGGTTTGTCCATTTACAATCTTAGATATTATACCTTAGATATAGCTAAGAGACAAAATACATTTCTAAAAAGTAGGCATCAAAACTATATAAAAAAAAAACTGTTTCTTTGTTTTTTTTTCCCTGATTCACTGGGCAAATTATCTTGAGAGGAAGCCTCTTTTTTCAGCCAAGACTTTAAAAAAAACAAAAAAAAAGTGATTCTAATGGAGACAGATGGATTCTAGTTAATTCCGAGAAGCAACAAGATGTAATTTTAACCAATTTTTAAAACCAAAATGAAAAACAACTCTAGTGTACTGTATGTCAAACAGTATTCATTTAACCTTAAAAGCCACATGTGTTGTTTATTCAAACCTCAATTATACTCTGAGTGGTACCCTATGGAGATGGAATGGCTTGGCTTTCTGGTAATGGGAGAAGTGGAGAACAAGTATTTGAAAAATGGTCAAGAGCTGGGCTAAAATTCAGACTGTTTATAACTCCCATTGCTCCCATTAATCTCTGGTTGGCCGGAGCAGGTCACTGAAGTAAACCCTGTCCTTTCAAAAGGACTAAGTGTACAATGAGATTACGAGATACCCACGAAAATAAACCTCAGACAGCAAAACTGCGCCAGCATGTGGCCACT